TTTCTGAGTGCAGCTACAGCGTTTCTGTGCGTCACTACAGTGTTTCCATGTGCAGCTCTTGGATATATTGAGGACTCGGGTCTTCACATTCAAAACCAGGTTTAAACGGGTGGTCTAATATTCAACACCTTCCTTTCTTTTTTTATGTGGTTCTAAAGTTTTTATTTATTTAGACAGAGCCCCCACCAGCAGGGGCAAGGGGCAGAAGGATAGGGAGAAGCAGACTCTCCCATGAGCAGAGAGCCCCATGCAAGACTCAGTCCCAGGACCCTGAGATCATGACCTGAGCAGAAGGCAGAGGCCTAACAGACTGAGTCACTCAGGCGCCCCAACAGTACATTTTTTGATGTATTGATGTGATGTTCTGGAAAAAAGGGAAATTAAAAACTTTTAATCAATGTGAGTAAAACCATGAAGTAGAGAAGTTGCTGCTGCTCAGGAGTCTGGAATACGGTCTGGAACCTTCAGCGGCAGGGGTGAGAAGGGCAGGCCTTGTCACTATCGAACACAACTCCAGTGTATGCATAAGGCCAATGCAGTGATACTTTACTCTCCCCGGGCCTCTCCTTCTGTCATCTCTGCCTATCCCAAAACACACGCAAAGCACAAGACCTTTGGGAAGGGAAAGACCAAAAATTTTTAAAATAAGCACAGAACAAACATATCTCTCCAACGGGGAGGTAAACCTTGGTTCTGGGATGGGAGGATAAAGTGCAGTGAGTGTTTATAGATGAGGGAGAGCCTGGAGCACAGAGACAGGAGGAGAACTCCACATCCTCCCTTGGTAATCCTGTATTCAGCCTATACTGCAAGAGACTGCAAGGATTGTGACTTGAAAGGGAGGGTCCCACAGACTCCCATTCCCCTGAATGTCAGATGACAAGTGGGCTTCAGCAGGAATCGGGCATTGTGAAACACAGGGCAGACACTTGTTCTTCTCCATCTGCAAGTTTATCATTCCTCTTCCCTGGTGCTTTAGTAGACCACAGAGGACCACCTAGTCTGCATGCTGATTTCCTCCCCACAGTTTATTCAAAATCCTGAATGGCACATTTTCCAAACTAGGAGAAAGATGATGACAATGGTGATTCAGGAATGACTTTTTCTCTGGAAAAGTTCACTTATCTGTTGATTATTCTGCTTCCTGAATTGCTGTTTTTAGGACATACCAATCTCTGACTCTCAGGTAGCCTGCCTAACACATTTCCTCATTTACCCGTGGCTTTTCCTCTGTACTCTCCCAACTGCAGACCAATTCCATCTGTCTGTGATTAGAGACAAGGACTGGATACTACAGTCTCAGTGAGGTTTGCCAGTAGGTATTGTATAAGGACCAAATCTGGATGTACCATTAGCTCTTTACACACAAGGATTAAAGTGAATTAATCTCAGCAATACCTGAACAATCCTGGAAAAGAATACCAATAAGGGGAGATTTGTTATACCTGGTTGTATAATGAATTTGAAGCTTAACAAAGTGAATGTGTGCATTTGAGCTAAAAATATTAGGAATTTGCAATAGAAGGAAGAGATCACAAGCTGATAGATGGGACAAATCGAGGTGGCATTTCAACTCATGGTGTTTTATTCACTGGTTGCTATTTAAGATCAACCTAAATGCCAAACATAAAGAGAATTTTAACATTGTTCACAGTACATCGATCCCAACGCGCCTTTACTGTTGATAGATCGTAAGGAATACAGCCCTCCACAGGCTTCTGAGGGTCCCTACAGTCTACGTAAGTCAGGAGTTTGCTGGACCTAGAGATGGCACCTTTCATGTTATGATAGATTCTGGCCTGATGGCTCCCTGAAATTGCAAAGAAATCTTTACCTATGACCAACTCATGAAGTTTCCCCCTGCAAGAGCCAGGAATTCATTATGTGCATACAACATGTAGATTTGGATGAAATGACAACTCTTTATTTCCATTTTTTAATTACTTAAAAGAGACTGAATGTATTTTATTTTTTTAGAGTTACTAAATGGTTTTCTAATTCCTTTTTCATGTGCGTTTACATACTATTTTTTTATTTTGTAGTTTAATCATACATACACAGACACCTACTTTGTTCTTACAATGTTTATGCATTGAAACCAAAATCCTTTCTTCATGCCCTTTCCTTTGTATTTTTCCTGTGGAAGGAAGGCATCACCTATTTCACATTAAAAAATATCATATTCAGGGGCACCTGGGTGGCTCAGTCATTGGGCTGCTGCCTTCAGCTCAGATCATGATCCCAGGGTCTTGGGTTCGAGCCCCGCATTGGGCTCCCTGCTCAGCAGGGGGCCTGCTTCTCCCTCTCCCACTCCTGCTGCTTATGTTCCCTCTCTCGCTGTGTCTCTCTCTGTCAAATAAATAAAATCTTTAAAAAAAAAATTCCATTTACTTCTAATATTGTATCATTGAACATTGCTTTATTTTAACTACTTAAGTTGTGTTAAAGCTTCAGATAATGTATCTTCATAGGTAATTTGACCTACCTTCATTTTTTTTCTGTTCCAAATTGTTTTGGCTGTACTGTTACTCAAAATCAAAATTGACACAAAATTGACTTTTAAGGTAATTCTCAGTTTTTATATGAAATACTATGTGCTACTTTTAAATTTGGATTGTACCAAATTTCTATAGTCACTGAGGTTTTTATGTCACAGTGTCTTCTAGCTTAAGAATTGGTCTGGTAGGCTTTATTCTTGTCATTTTATGTCCTCAAAAAGTTCTTAAAACATTTTTACATGGGTCTACATGATGATTTCAAATGGGAGCCATAATATTTTGTTGTTGTAAGTAGAGACTTTTTTTTTATGTGATTGCTTGTTTTTGAATTACTGTAACTAAACATGAAGTATTGACTTGAGCATATTAAGCATAGATCTGTCCGCTTCTGAAAATATTCATACTAGGTATGGTCATTAAAAAGCATTCTCCTGTTCTTTAGGATTTGAAGTCCTCTCTTCTGAGGACGACTGCAGTTCCAGGTCCTTGAGTCTGTATCTGTGTTTCCTTTATGTTTCTCTTTGTCCTGACTCACGTGTCCCAGGCGGTGATGAGTAGGGGCAACCCTGGACGGCCCCTTCTTCTCAGCCTTTACGTGAGCGGGACTGCTTCTTTGTCTGCTGCTGAGTTTGTTTGCTGACATCTTCTTGATTAGCAAGAAGGATTCCCTATTATTTGACGTGAATTTTAAAGATTCTCAATTATTTTGAAAGGTCAAATGTTTTTCTAATGATCTGTTGATGTGATCTAATTATTGCGGTGTTTAAAATTATTTAAGGACTTCCTGGCAGCTCGGGTCATGATCCCAGCATCCAGGGATATACAGTAGAAATTCCATGACTGTTAGAGGGTGAGGGTGGGAAGAGGAATGGGAGTTGTTTAATGGTTTAGAAGATGGAAAGAGTTCTGGAGACAGATGGTGGTGATGAGTGCACTTATGAATGTATTGACATCACTGGACTGTACATTTTACAGTGACGAGGGTGGAGGATGCCCGGTTGTGTCAGTCAGTGGAGCATGTGAGTCTTGATCTCAGGGCACGTTGGGTATAGAGATTACTTGAAAAAAAAAATCTAAAAAAAAAAAAAAAAAAAAAGATTAGGATGGTAAATGTTACATTGTGTGAATTTTGCCACAATAAAATAAAATGGAAAAAATATCCTCTTTATAGTAAAATCAATGCTTATAGTGATCACTCACTCTGGAAAGAATCTGTCAAAAAGAAAAATAAGGAATAATCTGTCAGGTTAGATAATTCATTTACTTAGTAGGAAAACTCATTTTTTTGGAAAATGAGGGCAGAAATCAGAATGTGTGAGTTCAAAGGCATGGAGGTTTGAAATATTTAAGGAGCATGGAAGATTCATTAGTTATCGAACAAGAATGGTGTTGCCGGATACATTTGGAAGCCACTGCGAGTTGTGACTTGACATATACAGGAGGGTCCGTGTCTTAGTCCTGTGTTGCCACATATGGTCATGGGATAGGCAGGTCTGTGGAGTCACCTTCCGTTGGACCCTCGATCAGCAGATATAGTAAAAAAAAATAAATAGCATTAGCCTGGGTAAATACCTATGGTGATGAATAACTGAATTAAACTGGGCAGTAAAAAATGAGGCAGGCTGGAGGCTGATGTCTGGGAATTGGGGCAGTGCGGTGGTTCTCACGCCATACAGAATGTGGACGCAGGAACAAATTCTTGAAAAAGCAAGGACAGTAGGTTGTAAACACAGGGTGGGGTCTCTCATGGTTAATGTTAGGGGTACTATTCCGGGTAAAATGTAGGTGTGATGTGTAATTCCTAAAATTTGAGAGTGGGAGAAAGGCAAAGGAAAATTCAGATTCTGCCTGTAACACTGTTCTGATGGCCACTTATGTGAATGTATGTGCCGGTGTGCGTGGAGTTTGTCATGTTACTGGAGTTTCCTGAACCTTTCCAATGATGGCATTTATTAAATTAGTAACAAAATCATAATTAGCAGAATTCTTTTGAGGAAGAAACGAACAAATTTTATCTCCCAAGCACAGAATCACATAAAATAAAACTTTATCTTTTCTTGACATGAGATACAAATGGGTAAGTTAAACCTACTTCTGTTTATGACTCGTTATTATTACCTGTCCATGAAATACACTTACTTCCTATGGATGTTTTAGGGGAGGAGTTAAAATTTATAAATGCTTTCACAGACAAATACACAAAATCAAACATTGAAATTCAGAGAAGTTTCAGCTAATGCAGATTTCAGTGAACAATTTTCTAAAACTTCAGCTGGAGTAAATAAACGTCCTCCTAAAATCCTTTCATTCTTTAATTTCTGGAAGTACTACCCCGTAAAGATTGTTAGACATGAGTTCTGCTGTAACCCACATATTCCTGCAATTTTCTGATGCAGGGGATTTTAAGGGGTAAATTTGTAAGGTGGGTGCCTTTGACCCTCAAAATGAAGTAAGTCACTTAATTGATTAATCTTACCATTAAATGCGGTTTTTTTTAAGATTATTCATTAAAGAGAGCATGAGAAGGGGAAGGGCAAAAGGAGAAGGAGGAGCGGACTCCCCACTGAGCAGGGAGGCCTGGTGATGTGGGATTTGGTCCCAGGACGCTGGGATGATGACCTGAGCCAAAGTCAGATGCCCAACAGACTGAGGCACCCAGTCACCCCCATAAAATTCATACTTAACAATCTTGCTTCATAACCAAACCCATTCAGAACAAATCTAAAGGCCAGTGTTGGTGGAGACAATGATGGATGATATGTGTATCCAGAGGGCTGGACAGGGAAGTATAGGGATGGAGTTGAGACACCAGAGAGCTGAGGAGTTAGGGAAACTGCTAATAAACAAGCTAATACCTAAGTCTGGGAAATTTCACAGTGCTTCCGCATGTGGCAGGTGCAAGAAATCCTGTTTGGGAATTGGAGGGAACTGGCTCTTCACATTCTTCCTAAATTGAGGGTATTGCTGTCGTCTCTCCCAAGCAGTAGTAGAGCCTTACCTTTGGAGAGCTGACCTCTTCTCCCCATTTCCTTTGGAGCGCACTGCATGTTTCTGTCTGGTCTGCTGGGGATTACTTCCAGGTGGAGTGGGTCTTCGTAACAAGTGAGTGTGGACATTGTGGGCAGCTATAGTTTAATTGGCTCCTTTCTCATTCCTCAGCCTTGCCTCCTGTTGCTGAGAGACTGTGTATGAGTGAAAACCCAGAAGATACTTGGCAACTGAGCTACTAAGAATGGACTCACAAGTGAGTAGGGAGTTACTCTTCCTACTGAAATAGGGTGTCTGTTGCCATTGTGTGGACATAAATCCCACAGGCATTCATGTTCTAAGTACACTCAGGTTTTTCAAGCTTTCCAAGAACTGTGGAATGGTCATGTTTGGTCAAGGACTATCATGTGGATCCCAATGTTATGCTGAGGTATCTCAGATTCAGTTAATGCCCTACATTTTCAGGAGACATGAGAGAAGTGTTTTGTTTTTTTTTTTTTTTTTTTTCATAGCCATCCCATGCCCTAGTTGGCACCAAAAATGCACTTGTTGACCATTTTATTAATTGTAGTGGGCTTAGGATTCAGGTCAGTACAGGTGATAGAGATGAAAAAGGAGCATAACTTTACAGTCCAGTAGAAAGTCAGATGTTCCCACATGTGAGCTCTGTCAATGCAGTATTATATGTGCCGGGGGGAGGGGAGGTTGTTGCTGATTAATACTGAGGGAAAATGAATGACGGTCATGCCAGAGAAGCCAAGGAGGAGTCCTCCTTTCTTTCCCCCAATTTAAACCTCTTAAAAGTTTTGATAGAATGTGTTAGTACTTTTTGAAGCTTATGAAAGAGAAAACTAAAAGTCATTACTTCCTTTGTCCCAAATCCTGATTTTTTATCCCCTCTTTATAATTTCCCTTAGTTCAAATTTGGTAACTGGAAAGAATGTATAGGGAATATTTTCTTAACTTTGAGTATAATTCAGGAAAAGGAGTATAGGAGGTAAAAGGAAACCCAGGGACCCCTGGGAATTTTCGATGAGCTTAAGAGACAGGAACAGTAAAGTGGCAGTTAAGCATAGTGAACCGAGGGACAGATAAAAACATGATGATAACAGATCCCTGGAGGGCCTCAGGCAATAGGAGGCGTCCGGACACTACTATCCTTCCTTAGGGAAGTCTCAGCCTCTGACTCATGCTCATGAACCATTTATCCTTATGCTTTTAATGAACCATTTATCTTTATGCTTTATAATGAACACCTGTTATGTGAAGATTAAAGGATGTGCTGCTGATCTCATATCCTGTGTGGATTCTGTTCAGTTTTACAGAATTATGGACATTGCTTCAATACTCTGGTAGTTATTGGATAGTAAAACTAGAAGTTGCATTTAAATGTTTGCTGTTAGCATTTACTATGTCATTGGATCTTTAAGAACTCATAAAAGGTCATTACACCATATCATAGATGATGAAACTGAGATCCTATAAGGGGAATAATCTTGTCAAAGTTATTTAAAAGTGGCAGGTTGTGTCATGAGTCCGTAGATTTACTTGAAATTGGTGGAAAATAGTGTTTTAGTTTTAAGTGTTCCAGAGAGACTGTTATACTCATGATCTGGAAATCTCAATTACAAATTTATTGCAAAATCCACAGGTTAGATCACACCTCATTCTATATCTCTATAATGAAATGTATGTATTGTGAATGTGTCTGGGTATATCTGAAAGTCAGATGTCCAGGTGTGCACTGAAAATGATGACTGAACCCAGCATTCTGTTTGAGCTTTCTGTATGTGCAGCCCCCACTTCCTTAGTGCCGTTGTCTGTACCATATGCCCCTGAATATTGGCAGGGATGGTCCTGTCTGAAAACGTCCATAATCTTCTAGGAATCAGTGACATTTGAGGATGTAGCTGTAGACTTTACTCAGGAAGAGTGGACCCTGCTGGACAGGTCCCAGAGAAAACTCTTCAGAGATGTGATGCTGGAAAACATCAGTCACCTTGTCTCAATTGGTGAGTCTCTTAGTGTTTACTATGTACGTATATTTCTTTTTTTTTTTTTCAGCATAACAGTATTCATTGTTTTTGTACCACACCCAGTGCTCCATGCAGTCCGTACCCTAATACCCACCACCTGGTTCCACCAACCTCCCACACCCCCACCTCTTCAAACCCTTCAGATTGTTTTTCAGAGTCCATAGTCTCTCATTGTTCACCTCCCCTTCCAATTTCCCCCAACTCCCTTCTCCTAACTCCCCATGTCCTCCATGCTATTTGTTATGTCCCACAAATAAGTGAAACCATATGATAATTGACTCTCTCTGCTTGACTTATTTCACTCAGCATCATCTCTTCCACTCCCGTCCATGTTGCTACAAAAGTTGGGTATTCATCCTTTCTGATGGAGGCATAATACTCCATAGTGTATATGGACCACATCTTCCTTATCCATTCGTCCGTTGAAGGGCATCTTGGTTCTTTCCACAGTTTGGCAACCGTGGCCATTGCTGCTATAAACATTGGGGTAGAGGTGGCCCTTCTTTTCACTCCATCTGTATCTTTGGGGTAAATACCCAGTAGTGCAATTGCAGGGTCATAGGGAAGTTCTATTTTTAATTTCTTGAGGAATATCCACACTGTTCTCCAAAGAGGCTGCACCAACTTGCATTCCCACCAACAGTGGAAGAGGGTTCCCCTTTCTCCACATCCCCTCCAACACATGTTGTTTCCTGTCTTGCTAATTTTGGCCATTCTAACTGGTGTAAGGTGATATCTCAATGTGGTTTTAATTTGAATCTCCCTGATGGCTAGTTATGATGAACATTTTTTCATGTGTCTGATAGCCATTTGTATGTCTTCATTGGAGAAGTGTCTGATCATATCTTCTGCCCATTTTTTGATATGATTATCTGTTTTTTGTGTGTTGAGTTTCAGGAGTTCTTTATAGATCCTGGATATCAACCTTTTGTCTGTACTGTCATTTGCAAATATCTTCTCCCATTCTGTGGGTTGCCTCTTTGTTTTCTTGACTGTTTCCTTTGCTGTGCAGAAGCTTTTGATTTTGATGAAGTCCCAAAAGTTTATTTTGGCTTTTGTTTCCTTTGCCTTTGGAGACATATCTTGAAAGAAGTTGCTGTGGCTGATATCGAAGAGATTACTGCCTATGTTCTCCTCTAGGATTCTGATGGGTTCCTGTCTCACGTTGAGGTCTTTTATCCATTTTGAGTTTATCTTTGTGTACGGTGTAAGAGAATGGTCGAGTTCCATTCTTCTACATATAGCTACCCAGTTTTCCCAGCACCATTTATTGAAGAGACTCTCTTTTTTCCACTGTATATTTTTTCCTGTTTTGTCAAAGATTAACTGACCATAGAGTTGAGGGTCCATATCTGGGCTCTCTACTCTGTTCCACTGGTTTATGTGTCTGTTTTTATGCCAGTACCATGCTGTCTTGGTGATCATGGCTTTGTAGTAAAGCTTGAAATCAGGTAATGTGATGCCCCCAGTTTTATTTTTGTTTTTCAACATTTCCTTAGCGATTCGGGGTCTCTTCTGGTTCCATACAAATTTTTGGATTATTTGCTCCAGCTCTTTGAAGAATACCAGTGGAATTTTGATTGGAATGGCATTAGGACCTGACGGATTCCCTGGGGAATTCTACCAAACTTTCAAAGAAGAAATAACACCTATTCTCTTGAAGCTGTTTCAAAAAATTGAAGCAGAAGGAAAACTTCCAGACCCTTTCTATGAAGCCAGAATTACCCTGATCCCCAAACCAGGCAAAGACCCTACCAGAAAAAATTTCAGACCAATATCACTGATGAATATGGATGCTAAGATTCTCAACAAGATCCTAGCAAACAGGATCTAACAGCACATTAAAAAGATTATCCACCATGACCAGGTGGGATTCATTCCTGTGCTACAAGGATGGTTCAGCATTCGCAAATCAATCAATGTGATAGAACAAATTAATAAGAAAAGAGAGAAGAACCACATGGTCCTCTCAATTGATGCAGAAAAAGCATTTGACAAAATCCAGCATCCGTTCCTGATTAAAACACTTCAAAGTATAGGGATAGAGGGAACATTCCTGAACTTCATAAATTCTATCTATGAAAGACCCACAGCAAATATCATCCTCAATGGGATAAAGCTTGCATCCTTCCCATTGAGATCAGGAACACGACAAGGATGCCCACTCTCACCACTCTTCTTCAACATAGTATTAGAAGCCCTAGCAACAGCAATCAGACAACAAAGAGAAATAAAAGGTATCCAATAAAAGGCAATGAAGAAGTCCAACTCTCTCTCTTCGCAGATGACATGATTCTTTATATGGAAAACCCAAAAGACTCCACCCCCAAACTACTAGAACTCATACAGCAATTCAGTAACGTGGCAGGATACAAAGTCAATGTACAGAAATCAGTGGCTTTCTTATACACTAACAATGAAAATACAGAAAGGGAAATTAGAGAATCGATTCCATTTACTATAGCACCAAGAACCATAAGATACCTGGGAATAAACCTAGCCAAAGAGGTAAAGGATCTGTACTCGAGGAACTACAGAACACTCATGAAAGAAATTGAAGAAGACACACAAAGATGGAAGACCATTCCATGCTCTTGGATCGGAAGAATAAACATTGTTAAAATGTCTATACTGCCTAGAGCAATCTATACTTTTAATGCCATTCCAATCAAAATTCAACTGTACGTATATTTCTATTCACTCATTCACTCAACAGCTGTGTGGCTAAGACTCCTCATTTCTCACTGAAAACTGTCCTTCTTACAACTGCCTCACAACAATCTTCACATTGTACTTTGATTTGTCATCCCACTAGAATGTAATTTTCCTCACACAGTTTCATGTCTTTCTTGCTACTCAATCTCCACAACACCCAAACAGTGGTGGGAATTCATTATTTTTGAATTGGTAAGTAAATACATTGACTTTTAAAAAAAATTTTTTTTTCCCCTGTGGGGACTGATCAGACCATGGGTATTTAAAAAAACAAACAAACAAAAAACAGGAGCACCTGGGTAGCACAGCTGGTCCAACTCTGTTTCAGGTCAGGTCATGATCTCAGAGTCATGGGATTGAACAATAAAGTGGCTCCATGCTCAGTGCAGAATCTGCTTAAGTTTCTCACGCCCTCTTCCCCTCCCCCACCCTGGGTCTCTCTAAAATAAATAAATCTTAAGTAAAAAAAAACAAAAACAAAACAAAACAAAAAACAGATAAGTGGTTTTCCATGCAGAATCTAGATTTTTCTGGTAGAGTTTTATTTATTGGGTTCATTTAGGATATAATATTCAAACGCTGTGAGAACTTATATCTTCTCACTGTGTTAAAATATTGAAGATTACACAGTTGGTCTCTGAACTTAGTCAGGCATCAATAATGACAGGTCCTTAAAGTCTTTAGGAAAGGTCAAGAGTTAACCTTCTGTTGGTGAAGGACTATCCATGTTGTTTTCAACATACTCTTACTGGAGAGGACTTTCAGAGGTTACCTCATTCTTTCCCATTAGTTGGCCCTACATTGATGATCATGCCATGTCCTACACAGAAGTCAAAATTCAATTCTCTTTTTTCTATGAACAGGGAGACAGCTCTACAAATCTGATATGATTTCCCACTTGGAACCAGGAGAGCACCTTTCAAAAGAAGGGCTAGGTTTGCTGCAGTGCCAGAGTCTGGGTAAGCTACCTTAAGAGCTACTAAGTGAGTGAGTAGGCCCTAAGAATTATCAGATGAAACTTAGCTGCTTTTTAAAAAGATCGACAATATGATAGGGGGGAATTTTTTTAGATATTGTCATTATATTTAACAGGTGTCAATTTCTGTTCTGTCTTTGGGAAGGTAATAGTTATGTACTCTTGGAGTTAAAATACACCAAATGTCCCTTTCCATGATTCTCTTCTGTGAAGATTTTCCCTTTCTTTTCCTCCCCAGCTTGCCATCTCCATCTTATTTTTCTCATCTTTCAGTCCTGAAAATGTCAACTGTTGATGTCCTATGTGTTTCTTCTCCTTATGGTATTCCTTAATTGACATGCTTTCCCATCTCTGTGTCAGTATTCAAAATATATTCCATGAGCATTTAGTGTCTTCAGCATTTTAATTCTGTCAATGTCACTATCGCAATTTTTTCCCCAATCATTTCAGATAGGGAAGATGATCTTAAAAAACAAGAAATGATATTCATGCAACATGTCTGCAAGGACACAGCATTAGTCAGTGCAACGGTAAGCCTCAAGGGGATGAACCTGTGCTTTGAGAAATGTGGGTATTGAATAAGGAAGGAATTGGGCACCATTACCCAATCATAATTTAAGCTGGAATCAAGGGTTTTCACAGCAAGAAGTTTTGGTTAGTTTGATTTTAGGGAAGAAATTAATCTGAAGTCAAAACCATAATCTAAGGTCTTGTAAACAGACAGCTGCATGATCATAACTTACATACCTAACATCTGAAACACAGTATTGTTTTGAAACATTGTCTTTAATCAGGTATCTCTGCATTTGGGCTGCTAAAAAAAATAAAATTTCTATGCTTCCTGGAGAGGAATACATACATGTTTATGTAACTAATGTAGACAGTGTTGTAGGACTCTGTCCCTGAATGATGACTGTAGAATTTATATGTAGATGAAGGAAGGAAGGAATAAATTTGAGGAACTTTTTCAACAGTCTCTCATTTCCTTTTGAATAGCAAAGATCTCACACTCAAGAGGATCCTTTTGAATGCAATGATTTTGGAGAAAGTTTAACTGAAATACTAACATGGACTCAATATGTGGTACCTAAAATGGGAAAGAATCCCTCTATCAGCAAAGAATGTGGAAAAGACAGCAGTTGTTTCCCATCGTTTAATACACATAAGCAGAGTCACACTACAAGTAAATCACATGAATGTCATCAGCGTGGGAACGCCTTTATTCAAAGCTCTGCCCATAGACAAACCAATACTACTCAGAATGGAGAGAAAACATTTGAATGTCATGAATGTGGGAAAGCCTTTGGAAAAAGTTCTAACCTGAGGCGACATGAGATGATTCACACTGGAGTGAAACCACATGGATGTCATCTGTGTGGGAAGGCCTTCACTCATTGTTCTGACCTTAGAAAACATGAGAGAATTCACACTGGAGAGAAATCATATGGATGTCATCTATGTGGGAAAGCCTTCAGTAAGAGTTACAACCTTCGGCGACACGAGATGATTCACACAAGGAAAAAACCCCATGAATGCCATCTATGTGGGAAAGCCTTCACTCACTGTTCTGACCTTAACAAACATGAAAGAACTCACTTTGGAGAGAAACCATATGGGTGCCATCTATGCGGGAAGACATTCAGTAAAACTTCATACCTTAGACAACATGAGCGAACTCATAATGGAGAGAAACCGTATGAGTGTCATCTCTGTGGGAAGGCATTCACTCACTGTTCTCACCTTAGAAAACATGAGAGAACTCACACTGGAGAGAAACCCTACGAATGTCATCTATGTGGGAAAGCTTTCACTGAATCTTCTGTCCTTAGACGACATGAGAGAACCCACACTGGAGAGAAACCGTATGAATGTCACCTCTGTTGGAAAGCCTTTACTGATTCTTCTGTCCTTAAAAGACATGAGAGAACTCACACTGGAGAAAAACCATACGAATGTCACCTATGTGGGAAAGCTTTCAATCACTCTTCTGTCCTTAGACGACACGAGAGAACGCACACCGGTGAGAAACCGTACAAATGCAGTGTATGTGGGAAAGCCTTCAATAGAAGCTATAACTTTAGATTGCATAAGAGAATCCACACTGGAGAGAAACCATATAAATGTTATGTATGTGGGAAAGCCTTCAGTAAATATTTTAACCTTAGACAACATGAGAAAATACATGTAAAAATAATCAGTGTAGACGATTCACCACCTATAGCTTCAAACTATAAACACTCTTGAGGGCTCAAACACTCAAGAAACACTAGGTTTGTAATCAGTGTGGGAGAGCACTTTTCCATCTTTATTACTTCACTCAACTGAAGGTAATCCCAAGTGGAGAGAATCTGCATGTGGGTCACACCTGTGTGACCAAACCTTCACGTAATGGACTGACATGAAGAATAGAAGTGGAGTATGGAAGAATCTTTACCCACAGTTCTGTCGAACAAAATGGAGAAGTGGCATGTCAGAGAAAACAGGTCTGTAATTAATGCAGAAATACTTTGCTTTATCCTTTAAATAAGCAAATTGTGCAGCAGAGTCTCTAGACCTGTAATCACCATGCACTCATTCATTCAGCAACACATCTGGCATGCAGAAGTCTGCTAAAACAAATAAGGGGGGAAAAAAACATTCCGAGGAAGACAGGAGAATTTTGTTGCCCAAGGGCTGTGTTCAGTGAGAACTAGGATATGATAAAGATTGAGGACATTTGGAGTATCCTCTGTGCAGAAAGCCTAAATTACCTGACCTAACAGTAATGTCTGTAGTGACAAAGCACTCCCTCTACTAATGGCAAACACCGGTTTGGCACAGCTGAAAGCAGTAGCAGAATAGACAAGCCGGCCTTGCCCATATCCCCGTCATAGCAGCCACAAATGCACAAGTCACCCAACTGAGGAGACCTCTGCATCCCAGGTACCCCCCACAGGCAAATGCAGAAAGCTGGGAGACACCAGGTAACAGGCCAAGTCATTGATCCTACTCGCTTGAACGTGCTTAGGCATCCTTGTTCACACATGGCAAAAAGGAGAATACAGATGCTTATAATTAATTTATGCTGTTATGAGTGAGGATGCAATGCCCTTTTCAATCCCTGCTTCAACTCTCTCCTTAGGTTTGAAGAAATTATTGTGTGTTTATTGATGTTTCCTCACCCTAATTTGCTTGCTGTGTTTAAAGTCTTAAAGTGACCTGTTAACATCACCAACAGAACAGTGCTTCCCAAACCTAGAACTATTGAGTTTCTCCATCTTCTTGTGTTTCTTATAACTTCTGTTTTGTGTAGTAATATTACACATTTTCCTCCTAACTCCAAAGATACATGAGAATTTGTTCCATCACCTTTCCTGCTGCTTTGCAAAGATGTTTTTGTATTTTTTAACTTTGCACATTGTCTTAAAAAGAGGAGGAGACTTACGTTGATGTGGTTTTACCCAGATGAGTTTATTATTCTCTTCAAGTGAGGAGACATCACTTCCTCCATCCAGGAGCTGAAATATGCTCAGGATAGGCAGAAGTTTTGATTTCACTTAAGACATTAATGTCTTCCAGGTTGTTCCTCTAGATTTATGAAAACACCTTCCCAAAGTACTATAAACTGAGAAGACAAAATGCTTTTCCTCCTTATCCCCACCTAAAAACCTATGGGGAAAAGGATCCCAGGATTGGAGATTCTCTATATTTCTATCAGCCTATGTCAGTCCACATGTTTATATATCCATCTACTTGCTATTTCCTCATAGTGTTTTTTTGCCCATGATTTTCAGTGTCTGTACAAAGCAAATTCCCAGACTTGTGGAAATCGGATGGTCTCTTCATGGTTCTTACAGTCCTCTCTGATTTCACAAGTCTCTGAATTTAAAACAGTACAATTTTTATTTGATTGAATCTTTAATTTCCTGTTGTCTGTCTTGTCTCTACTCAACAACTTATCTGGAAGCAGAAGCCTCAGTATTTCACTTGAACCAATTTCCAGTTGATTTTGTTTCAGTCAGGACAAGCTGCCTACTTCTCCAGACTGTCCTTCTGTGGTGTTCATTTCCAGGTGCTTCAGTAGAAGAAGCTGGTGTGAATATGATGACCACATCGGCGGGCTTCCCTCTCCTCAGGTCATGTCATGTCACCCAGAGAGGCTACACTGCAGTGCCACAGGGCAGTTGCTTGCATCCTTAATGAAGGGTCACTGCTGCCACTGGTTAGTTGGTCCAATGCGAGCTATTCAGGGCCAAAATGGAAATAATTCACCTGGACATACTTAAGACCAAAGAATGATTCATCTCTAAATTTAATGCATAATATATTTGTCAGAATTTTGAAAACAGTAGCTATTTATATAAGAAAAAAAATCGCCACAGTTTACAAGTTGGAATCACATTAAAAGTCTGATACCTTCTCATGGGAACCTGGTTTGGTTATCTGCACTTTCCTAATTTAGTTTCTTGGTACTGTGTTTATATTAATCCCCCATTATGTCAACCATACAAACCAGTGGGGCTGCCTTCTGATGGAGTCCAGCGCACGGCTAGAGCAAGTGGAAGATCGCTGAAGACCAGGTGCATTAAAAAGGGCAAGAGTAACAGTCTCACTTTACCTGGATCCCCGTTCCCCAAAAAGGGCATGCCTTAGTGCCATGAGACAGCATTTCTGGCCCACATTCTTTCCCACAGGGGAAAGGGAGAGCATCTGAGTGAGTGACCTCTAGCCAAAGAAACCCAGGTCTTTTCTGCACTCCCTACAATACCGGGGTGAGCTACATAACCTGGGGCCGGGAATCCCGTGAGAAGAGCACGTAGAGGTCTTACAGGGTATCAAAGACGTGGATCCTACTAACTCCACTGCAGACTACACGGCCCCTCGGAACCCCCCAGTGCTCAGTGCACATCACCCACACATCTCCAAACCTGGTGCTCAGCTCCCTGAGTGTACTCCCAACTGCATCCAGGCTGAGGCCTTGCAGCTGGCTAGAGCGTGCAGACAGCACTGGCCCCACTCTGTAGGACTGGGAGTCAAACAGGAGCACTTGGCAGCATACTAGGGAAAGCAAAAAGAAGGCTGTCAGCACCTGGCCCAGCCTTGCAGTATTAAGAGAAGGCCTACAATCAGGAATTCCACACCCCCCAAGAGGAGACCTGAGTTCAGAGCAGGACCACACATAGAAAAGGTATGGGAAACGATACAGCAAATACAAGATTTGAAAGAACATAGGTGTTTATGGGTGGCACTGTCGGTTAAGTATCTGCCTTCAGCTCAGGTCATGATCACAGGGTCCTGGGATGGAGCCCAGCATCGGGCTCTCTGCTCATCGAGGAGTCTGTTTCTTACTCTCCCTCTGCCTGTGCCTCTCTGCCTGTTCGTGCTCACTCTCACTCTCTCGGACAAATACATAACTAAAATCTTTTTTAAAAAATAACAAAATAAGCATTTAATGTAGTTATATAGCTAAATTCAGAATACTGCGATCCTATTTTATGGTGATACATTAACCGCTTACTTCCAGCAGCAAGATTAAGAGAGAAAAGTACTGAGAATAACTATAGCTACCATAATTTTTAAAAGGCACACAATATGAAAACATCAAAAATGTAAAACATAAGGGGAGTAAAGTTGCTTATCAACTTACATTAGACTGTCACATCTAGATGTTTTATGGAAGTCTCCAGTGACCACAGAGCAACAGTTGACACACACAAGATACAAAGACAGGATCAAAGCACAGCACTACAGAAAACCATCAACACCCAGACAGTTCTCTTATCTAGAAGAGAACAAATGAGATGGCATCAGTAAACCCATCCAGCAGTTACCAAAGATGTGAGTGGACTAAATTCTGTAATAGGCAGAGTGGGTAGCTGCACTAAAAGCAATACCCAAACAACACCATCAAAAGACGCACTTCAGCTTTAAAGACACATAGAGGGGCGCCTGCCGGGCTCCGTTATTGGGCATTGCCTTCACCTCAGGTCATGACCCAGGTTGCTGGGATCAAGCCCCCATGGGGTTCTCTGCTCAGCAGGGAGCCTGCTTCCCCGCCTATCTCTGCCTGCCTCTGCCCTCTTGTGATCTCTGTCTGTTAAATAAATAAGATCTTAAAGAAAAATATTAGGGGGGGAGAGAGAGCACAAGCAGGGAGAGTGGGAAAGAGAGAAGGAGAAGCAGATTCCCCACAAAGTAAGGAGCCCAATGCGGGCCTCGATCCCAGGACCCTGAGATCACCAAATGAACCACCGAGACACCCCTAATCTCATTTTTAAAAAGCAATTGTAGAGTGAAACCCATCCCATCATGTAGATTTCTACATTCTCCCACTTTATTCCAAGTAATATTTTGAGGCCAGATCCACACAGGCTCACTTTGTAGGGCTGGAATGCATTATGAAGTCAGGGAGATCAAATTTTCCATTACCAATCTTATTTTCCAGGATTTTCCAGTGATTACTGTACATTAACTTGTCCCTACTCAGAGAGAGTTGACAGGGCATCCTGCATTGGTCCCCAGGAAATCCCTGCTACCCTACCTCACTGAAACCATAGTACTCACCCCACTCCAATCCCTACCTGCACATGAAGTCCAACGACTCAACCCCAAATGGAAATGCTTCACAAGTTTGATGTCAGTGGTTCATAGATGGGATCTATCTAGAGATGGAAGAGGACTCAGAAAACACCGTGAGGGACAGTGAGCATGTGTTAGGTAGGATACTTGAGAGCTGAACATTAGTCGGTCTAAAATCACATTTCAGGAGGGAGAGGACATAACAATGGACAGAGTAACTCTTCTTCTAAGGAAGAGGAATTCCTGACTCCTGCTCATCTTCCTGTCTGAGCTTCCTTCCAAGGCAACTCACTCCTGAGTGCTGAGACTATGCCTTTCAGAGCTTGGAATCAACATACCTTCCTGTGCCACAGCCATACACATCAGGAGTCCTCTTTCTACTGAAACACAGGAACACCACCCACAGAAACTCCAGCACTGTACTGTGTGGCTGGGGGTTTCTGGGATTTGTTAGGCATAACCTTCCACCCCAACCCACATGAACGCAGGCAGGCTCAACAGTGTGTGTGAGACTCGTGCAGCATAAGTGACCTCGGGAGCCTCGTTAGTGGCCCTCAACTGGCCTCCAGGTCAGAACGGGCCCTTCTGGTCTGGACACCAAGAGCTGGAAGTCTTGCCTCCCATCCCCTCCTGCTCCAGGCTGGGCTGGGCCCCTGGAACGAACCCCTGGATGGAGGCAAACACACACAGCCCGGGCTCCTGGAAGAGGCAGAGACGTGGTAACACGAAATGCAGCTCACTCCAAACTGCATGGAGGCAGACAAATGCTTAACTCCAGACCCCGTCATCTGCCCTAGAACTACGGCCCTGTGGGGATGCTCAGTGGAAGTCCCTCTTGAGGGGA